GAAATTCTAAAGAATAATGAAATAAAAGAGTGAAAAAATCTTTATGAAAGAGTAAAATTTGTTTTAAATGGCGATTGGGGAAAAAGTATTATTTTCCTGGAGCATCTGGAGGAAATTGACGTAGCAAATTGGAAATGTCGAACAATCCACGATGCGTTTTCCGGTAAACTCGGCAGTACCAACAAATTGCACTGATCGAATGTCTATGAGAGTGTGGGGTAAAGTAATCTTCTTGGGTGCGATTGATCGTGTATAGGTTTGCTCTGTACACATAGAGTGGACTAGTTTATGGACGGAATGCTTTGAAATACTCGTGTGAGGCTTCAAAAGCGATATCGGTCCAACCCCACACAGAGAAAAAAATGTATTTTTGCCAAGTATTCATGTATTCGACAGAACTATTTACGTTTCGAACGTCCTATTTTCTCTGACGAGCCATTTACACTTTTGAAAAATTACACTTGAAATTCCGTGTGAAAAACCGTGAAATTTCTAACTATCAGAAAGTGCCATGAAATTTATGTGGAATTCTTCATTGACGAATCACTTGATTTTTTTATTTTTCAATATAATGATTTAAAAATTATTTTTAAATTAAATTAATGATCGTCCAACATAAAAAAACCGATTGTTTTGAGTTCATGAAGACGAGTAAAATTCATTGACCGTTTTCAAAAATGGCGAGAATGATGAAAATGGACGTAATAATTCATCTGAATTTTAATAATTAAACAATTTACTCAAAACTATAATTGAGAGGAGCATCACGGACAGTGATGTAAGTAGATATAATGCAGTTGAAAACTAATGGAGATGTTGAAAAGGACTCTAAGTAAATAAATAAATAAAAGGCCCATAATAGATGATTAAATATTGAAAAATATATTTCCCTCTCAGTGCAGTACCTCCTGTAAAATCGATGAGTGTTGCATACATTTTTTATGTAAATTCTCGGTGGTCAGGGGTAAAGCTACATATGTAGATTTAAATCCCAAGTGTCTCCGTGGCTCATTTGAGCTTCAAATATGTTATCATAAATCTTATTCTGCTTATCTGTGCGTGACTGCGCCATTTCTTAGTTTTACGAGGGGAAATTTGTGTCGGGAGGAAAATTTAGGGGAATGAAAAATGAAGCGCATCGTTTGAATGCGAAATATTTTCCCGTTGAGATCTCCAACGAGAGGAGAGATCATCATCATTTGATTATTCGAATGGATCTAGAATATTTTGGGATATCTGGAGTGTTAGAGATGGAGATTAAAACGAGCTTGGGTCCGAAGTTAATTTCAGGATCGATTATTGGCCTAGTCGACTGACTAATCTCCAGAAATGGTTGTTTAAATAATCGATGATCTAACGAACCGAGAGGTGAATTGCGGCAAATGGAATCGACAATTTTCCGGTCTACAATGACACCTGTTTCGTCCATCAAGTTCTAGTACTTTCCTAGGAAATCCAATTTTTCTATCGACAAGTTTATATCCCAGAGGGAAAAAACCTAATTTATCTCTCGTCCATTTTCATCCGTCTCTTCAACATATTGAATATCTCAAGAAAATGCGGTTGAAGGAGAATGATCTCAGGTCCATTGGAGAACATGGGAAATTCAAGTTTCAGTCACTCAAGGAAAGTGCAAATGAAAGTTTTTCATTTTCTCACTGCACTCTCAGAAATTCCAGTCATGATCTCATTTGAATTCTCAATTATTTGTATTTGAACTCAATTTCAATTGAAAATATCCACTAAACTCGTATTCACCTTGAAAATGAAACGTTAAATTGTAATTCAATTTTCAATGGATTGAAAATTCTGAAAACTTATTATTCCTATTATGATTATTATAAAAAAAATTTCGAAAATTCGTGTAATTCTTTATCCCAAAATTCATTCATTATTTTTTATATATTGGAATATAGGATCAGAGAATCCGAAATAAATGTAACACCAAAAACATAAAGCATTTTATGGAGTTTAGGATTTATTAAGACAATCTGTTCACGTCAATATCCGGAGAGGAACTAATTAGTCATAAAGAAATATCGAAGTACCATGGGTCTTTTCCCTGGTATTCTCTGACGTCATCTCTAGGATAAACAATTCTGCATAAAGACAACAAAGGCTAAAAGCAGTAATAATAATAATCATAATTGAGAGAATATTATAGCTAATATTTATAGCGTATATTCAAAGAAATGAATTAATTATTTTGCTCGCTCCAATAGTATTTTCGGTCAATTTCTGAGGGATTAACCTAGGGAAAATAATGTCCCCGGGCAAATGGAGGCGCATAATTCAGGTTCTTGAATAATTGATGACGAGACGGTTTTTTTTT